AAAAAAATTTTTTTTCAAAAAAAAACTTGCTACTGAAAAAAAAAATTGTATAATGGTCTATGAAGTTAACTTTTCCAAAATACCTGAAGCATATCAGAATATTATTATCTATTTTTATAATAAATTCATATCCAACTCAATAAAACCCAAAAATCACTAAAATTTTTTAAATATAAGATAAAACTATGACACCTAGAAAATAAACATCTTTATATCCAAATTATCAATCAGCTGCTTAGACATTTTGTTTCTATGTAAAACATAGAATTTTATTTGTCTATATTTAAACAATTTTACAATAATAATCATTACATTAATACTAAGAATTGTTACAAAAAAATCAATATATATCATATCAGTATAATGAAAAAGAAGTTTATAAATATGTTCGTAATTGTAATATATACAATCAATTATCATCAATAAAGAAAAAAGATAACTTAATATCTATTGTAAGTTATGGGCTAATAGAAAATTTTTAGATAAATATTATCAATTTTATGATATACAAAGATATAAATGATAGGTTTTCTTGGCTTTTTACTATTATTTGTATTTTTTCGAAATTTCTCTAAGCTATTCTATTAAAAATCAAAGAAGCAAATAGTGTTAGAGAAGTCTTAGTATCTTTATTTATACAGTAAAGTACATCTTCTATCTTACAATTTGACAATAGCAAAGAGTTTATTACTAAAATTATTAAAAGTATCTGTGAAGCTCTTGAGATTGCAATTCAATACAGTCACCTACAACATCTGATATCACAAGAACAGGTTAAGCATTTAAACCAGACAGTTAGATATAGATTTATGAAAATATTATAAAATAATAAACTTTAATTACAAAATATTAATTGAAAGTTTACTTAACAAAATTTATTTTTTCTTATAATAATACCAATATAGTGCTTATGATAAAACTCTCTGCAAAGTGATATTTGGATACAAGCTTTTTGAAATATATTAGCAACTCAATCTTAATGATTATATTCAGAAAATAAAAGTACAAAAAATATAGCCAACATCTTAAACTATAGAAAAGTATCTAGAAAAGGTTTCAAAAATTTATAATGAAGTAAATAACTAATTCAATAAATCTAAAAAATATATGCTTAAAAATTTAAGTATCTACTACTGAAAAAGTCAATATATATCTGGTCAGCTAGTTGCAATAGCACCTGATATCAATATGAATCTGACAACTAAAAAAATAAAAACTGCAAACTATATTCAAAGAAACTAGAGTAGTAGTTAATCTTACAAACAATAATAAGACTATTATTGTTGAAATACCTAATAGAAATACTAATATTTTTTTACAAAAAGAGTTCTTCTTATTAAAAAGAGTAATAAAAAAAGTAAAGTCTAAATTTTAGATAATAGTATTTCTAATTCACTACTTAACTTATTTTCTATATCTTCTAGTTGTATCATCATCACCAATATTTTCTTTTTCTATATTACTACCTCCACAAATATTTTTTGTATTATCTTTTTTGCAAATATCTTCTTTTGCTATATTATCTTCTTTGCAAATATCTTTTTTTACTATATTAAATTTTTAAAATTATATTTTTTTATAGTCATATCTATAAAAATTTGGGTGTATATTTTGGGAGATTAGCGTTAAAATTTTTAGAGTAGATATTAGATAGTTAAGGTTTGGGATGCATATTTTGGGGATGTATATTTTTAGAAGATGCTTATTTTTAAAAAATATATATTTTTAGAGATATAATTATCTTATATTC